CTCCACTGCTGTCTCTCCTAGACACTTCCACACCTCTACAGGTATGTCATCTGGACCAACAGCCTTTCCACTCTTCATTCTCCTCAGAGCCTTCCTCACCTCATCCTTTCTAATCTTTGCTACTTCCTGCTCTACAATATTCACCTCTTCCCCCCTTCTTTCCCTCTCATTTTCCTCATTCATCAGTTCCTCAAAATACTCCTTCCATCTTCTCTGCACACTCTCCTCACTTGTTAGCACTGTTCCATCTCTGTCTTTAATCACCCTTATCTGTTGCACATCCTTCCCATCTCTATCTCTCTGTCTCTCTAAACTGTGCAAGTCCTTCTGTGTTTTTAGCTGAAAGTATTCTTAAGTTAATTGGATGTGAAAAGTTTGCCCATTCATTTGAATGGGGCAAAATTTGCTAAAGAAAGCTGAATATTTTAAATAGTATAAATATTACAAAATAGAAAAATACAAACAGGAGTGTCCCAGAAAAGCTGAACAAAGGCTAAAACAGTAGGAGACCTGAACCTGACCAGAGTCCTTCTGATGGACTCTTGCAGATCCTTGTTCCTCAAACTATAGACTAGAGAAATGCATTTTCTTCAGAAAATGCATGTGGATGCTGAGTGCTGAAGGATCACCCTGAAAAAGCTGAACATTTAGACACCTGAATGGCTTTTCTAGCTGAAAGCATGCTGAACATATTAAGATGTGAAAATTATCACGTTGGTCCCCACAAAGTAGGTAAAACAAGTAGGGTTGTGTGTGTAAGTGTGTGTGTCTGTGTTTATGTGTGTGTGAGAGAGAGAGCAGTCCTACACCCTGAGGAATGCTAGAGTATTCTAATGAAACATAAAATGTAAACGGTAATTATGCAAAAACCATAAAAGATATCAAAAAGCTGTTTACATTATGAATAGCTGAAGAGTTGCTGAATAGGGAACCACTGAAATTGTGTTTTTAGCTGAAGGTCTGCTGAAGTTATTCAGATGTGAAAATTGTTCCCATTCATTTGGATGTGGCAAAATTTTCAAAATAAAGCTAAATATTTCAAAAAGTATGAAGTTTAGAAAACATTCTGAATGGAAGCATAAATGTCCTTGAAGAGCTGCACATTTTGATGCCTGAAATAGCTGA